TAGCCTCGAATCCTACCCGAGACCAGATACAGGAAAGACCTAAAACTGCCCTCTTCAAACAGCGACCTGACCTGGTTCACCGGAGGGGAGCAGCTTCCTCCGGGACGGACACAGGTATGCAGGGGCGGCTATAGTAAATGAGCAAGTAATCTTATCTGGGCATCACGCCTCCCACAGGGACATCAGCCCAGACGCAGTAACTAGTGGCACTGACAGAAGGCCCTCGACCAGGCCCAAGGGAAAGAGGGCTGACAGTATAAACCAACAGTCATTATCGTTCGGGCGGTCCACATACATGGGCTCTACTATATTAGAGAGGTTTTTTTGTTTGTTTTTTTTGAGACAGAGTCTGGCTTTGTTGCTCTGTTAGAGTGGAGTGCCGTGGCGTCAGCCTAGCTCACAGCAACCTCAGACTCCTAGGCTCAAGCAATCCTTCTGTCTCGCCTCCCCGAGTAGCTGGTATACAGGCATGCGCCACATGCCCGGCTAACTTTTTCTATATATATGTTAGTTGCCCAATTAATTTCTCTTATTTATAGTAGAGACAGGGTCTCCCTCTTGCTCAGGCTGGTTTTGAACTCCTGACCTTGGAAGCGATCCACCTGCTCGGCTCCCAGGAGAGCTAGATACAGGCGTGAGCCATAGAGGAGAGTTTTATCATAGTGGAGGGCCAAGAAAAATAAACATAAGCCTGAATACTTCAACTGTAGAAAGCCCATTTGTTGCCAAAAGCAGTGGCAGTAGTTCCACATTCCGGGACCTTAGGAAGGGATTCTTTTGAAGGCCAGGGCAACCAGGCTGCAGTGCTTAGGTAAATAGCTGCAGAGGAACCATCACTAACGATGTTCTATATTTGAGCTTGCCACCTCTTGGATGGGAAGATGCCCCCCCAACTGTATTATTCCAGCACTGAATAAACTGGCCAAAGAAAACTGTAGGCAAACAGGAGTAAGGACGGTTGGCCTCAAACGATGGAGAGATCTACCTAGTAGTTCCTGAAACCTTGGGAACCACTCTAGGACACTTGCACTAGATGCGCATCTGGGAAAAGGAAGATGCTACAGTTGCTGGACACTGCACAATCAGATTCAAATCACAAGGAAAGATAGCAGAAAGAACTGGCGTTTCTGCCAGGTCATGCAGCCGGGGAGAATCAGAGGGACCATGCAGGTACCAGGGGAGCGGAAGGCAACCAGGATTATTTTGGAAATAGATTCACAGAGGTAAGATCTGGAAAAATATGGGTACAGGTATTGTTGTCATGGTAGACACTTTCGGGGGGGTGGTGGTGGAAGTTTTTCCTACTAAAGGAGGGACTGCCTTCATAGTAGCAAAAAAAAAAATATTGGAAGAAATAATTCCCAGGTACAGGCTGTGAGAGCATAGCATCTGACAATGGGCCGCCTTAACAAGTCAGGTCAGTCAAGGGCTAACCTGAGCACTGTGGGCGGATTGGAGTTACATTGTGATATAATCCCCAGCTCAGGGCAAGGTAGAAGGAGATGAACAGAACCTAAAGGAGACCTTACTAAATTGGTCCTAGGAGACCGGCAGGGACTGGGTGATCCTCCTTCCTTCCCCTGTTCCGAGCCCGGAACATCCCTTAACATTTGGGGCTTAACCCCCTTTGAGATTGAAATATGCTTCAGTTTCTCTCCTTCTGCCAGGCCACTGAACTTTGATGCCCCTGTAGACTCAGCCAGCACACAGCCCCTCCCTTGTGTCCCTCCCAAAACAGTCTGACTTCAGGGTAATCATTTCTCATTTACCCTCTAACTTTGCCCACTCCAAATCCTGCCCACGCACCTGTATATTTTATTTACTCCTGCGTATGAGAACGCTGATGTCTGCTCAACTAAATAGCAGCAATAAGACTCAAGGTGAATCCAGTGCCTTGGGTTCCTACCTAAGAATACAGGAATACGACCCAAACTCTTCTGGTGTAAATTATTAACTTGTGAAAAGCAAATTAGGCCAAACAAAAAACAGGCACCAATAACCTTCTGATCACATAACCAGAATAATGCCCACCATGGCAGTCCAAAAAAAGGGCCTACACAACTGTAACCAGCTAGGAGAACTAGGATGGCCGCTTCGTGGCCCTCATTGAACCCTCTCTCCAAGCCCTCGAGCGGACCCCACACCGCGGCTGGCCGTCCGGACTCCACCGCTCCTGTTTCTCCGGAACCCTTTAAGTCCCCACAGCGCCCCGGCTCCGCCGTCCACAGGAGGAGGACGGCCCCGCGGCCGCGAGCTCCTCCCGCGCGCGGCCCGCACCCCGAGCCGCAGTCCCCCGAGGCCGTCCCGGCGTCGCCGCGCTGTCCGGGCGGACGCGGGCTGCCGGGCTCGGGAGCTGCCACACGGGCTGCGGCTGCGCCCGCGCGCCTGGGAGGACGGCACAGGGCGGCCCGGTCCCGCGCCGGCGGCCCGCTCGCGCCGACCAGAGAGCCCGCTGACCGCGGGACCAGTCGGCAGACCCCAGCCTCCGCAAGGCCGGGCTCCCACCGGTTGCAGTGGGTTTTACCACCGGCCTCCAGCGGGTCCCGCCATGCTCCACAGGGACCTCCAGCGCCACAGGAGGAAGGACCGCCACAGCGCGCAACTCCACACCGCAAATGAAACCCAGCGGGAACGCGGACGTGCCTTTTAAGGGCGGCCAGAGATGAGGCCCCGCCCCTCGTGGAAGACCCGCCTCTTCCGCTGCGCGCCTGATTGCGACGTTACACAGTCCTGCTTGAACAGGACCCGTCCCGCCCTTTCGGGCCTGGAGTGACAGGTGATGGGATCCCTCACTCCTGACCACACCTATACTCTGGACCTGGCGCTTCCTGGAAGTCTTCGCATTTAACGGTGGTGTGTGAGGTTATATCAACGTAATGACTGACTATATCTATGATATTCGAATTGAAAACACTATAATGACAACTGCTTCGTAAATTTCTGATTTTCTGACCTCATGGCCTCTCTAACTTTTGAAGAGGCAGCCTGCGTTTGAAAACGGGAGGCGGTCCCTCAGGCAGCAGCGCCTGCTATGAATAAAGTGTGGCCACGGGAGTCAATTTTAGTTCTAGTAGCAACAGAAGAGAAAAACAAGGAAACACAAGTCACTGATGTATAATTATGCAACCTAATATATCCAAATTATGTTTCTACATGTAGTAAAATTTCACTTATTTTTGCCGAGAGTTGCCAAATGCAGCGTTTCTACTGTTATTATCCTCTGCATGTATTCGTTCTCATTGTTCTATTACGAACTGAATTTTCTCATGAGGTCTTCATTACATAAAACTAGGCACAGTGGCTTACATCTGTCATGCTAACCCTTCGGAGGCTGAGGCAGGAGGATCACTTGAGGCCTGGAGTTCAAGACCAACCTGAGCAACACAGCGAGATTCTGTTTCTACAAATTTTTTCTTTTAAATAGCTAGGCATGGTGGGTGTGTGCCTACAGCCATGCTACATGAGAGGTGAAGAGTAGATCTGACACTGGCGCCCTAGCCTGGAAACAGGGACACACTGTCTTAAAAAGTGAAAAAAACTGCCTACTGGAAAGATAAAAGGGCTTGAAATGTTTGTCAACTGTCATAATAACTATGGTGTGCCCCGCAAACAAGAACACATATAAATTACATTTTCCAACATTTTTGATGGAATTTCATATACCACTATAGAATCTGTTTTTGAGCTCCAATTGTCTAATCTTAGGTCGTCAGGGAACCTTCATATTGCCTCCTTTGTCCTTGTATGCCAGGAAACATGTTTTGAGAGCTTCCTTACTTTCCTGAATGAACACAGATGTGTGCTTCTCCTTGTGTGTTGTAGTAAATATTATGTTACAAACACAGGTCCCATTTGGCATGTCCCTTTCTACTTATGGTGCTTCCTATATTTTCACAATATTCTGGTTTTATATTGTTACTTTATCTTTCTTAACATTCTTTGAGTGATATGCCAGATTTATTCACACCTTATAAAAATATTAACAATGTTTTTTCTGCTTTGGCATGCTTTTTTATCATTTAGACTTGTCCTTTGTCATTTATCTTCCTATAGTGTGTGAAGAATGAATCAATTTTCATCACTTTAGGCATATGGACTTCCAAACACTAAATATTAATAAAGTTTCCCCTGTGTAGTTTTATTGTATATATCTTTTCTTCTCTTATGACTTTGACACATTTCTGAAATTTCTACGGTCCTGATCCCTTGACTATTTTTCTATCAGTACCATACTACTTTAATTGTAGAATATATTAATGTGTTATAATTTATCAAAAGATCAGACATCCTTATTGTGTTTATTTGCAGGGATTTTGGCAAGTCACATGTTTGTTCTTCCACGTACGCTTTGCAAAATCATTGCTAGCTTTTAAAAACCTGATAGGTCACTCTGAAAATAAAATTTAACTAAACCTCTGTGAATCTCGTCCATCCAGTCTAGATGCTGTTGCAAATGGTGGTCACACAAGTTATCTGACAAACTACTGCCAAATGGTGCACAATATTTTGTAAACAGTACCAGAAGCCCGTTTCACAACAATGTCTCTAATTATGCAGTAACTTGGCATCACGGCTCCCTCCATTGCTGTGTGATGAGTCAGGTGTTGCCCGGTGCTCATCATGTAGGGAGGTGTCAGAACCATACAGTAACTCTTCCACTCTTTCAACTCTTAAAATTTCGGGCAGCGTTGAAGGCTCACCCTGTAATCTAGCAACTCTGGGAGGCCGATGCGGGCGGGAATGCTTGATTCAGGTGTTGAAACAGGCTGAGCAAGAGCGAGACCTGTCCTAGTATAAATGGAAAAAAATTAATTGGCCAAACTAAAAATATATACAAAAAAATTTGCCGGGCATGGTGTTGTATGCTGTAGCCCAGCTACTTGGAGGCTGAGGCAGAAGGATCGCTTGAGTCCAGGAGATTGAGGTTGCTGTGAGTTAGGCTGACCCCACGGCACTCACTCTAGCCTGCCAACAAAGTGAGACTCTGTCTCCTAGACATAAAAGAATTCATAGTGGAGAGAAGCCCTATAAATGTGAAGAATGTGACAGATACTTTAGATGGCACTCAGACCTCTCTAAACATAAAAGAATTCACACTAGAGACAAGCCCTAAAAATGTGAACAATGTGGCAAAGCCTTTAAACAGTTCGCACATCTTTATGTGCATAAAAGGATTCCTACTGGAGACAAAGTATACAAATGTGAAGAATGTGACAAAGCCTTTAATCGACACTCATACCTTTCTGCACATAAAAGAATTCATCCACAAGGAAACCCTACAAACGTTAGAATGCAGAAAAATATATTGCTCAAGGTTTTCCATTCATAAGATCATTCATACACGAGAGAAACCCTGGAAGTATAAAGAAGGTGGGAAAGCCTTTACCTGATGCTGTTACTTCACTATACATGAGCACAATCCTAGAAATATAAACCAAGTGGGAGATCTTGTAATAACTTTAACTGGTTGTTTATATCTCAATAGCAGACAGTCATGGTGGGTAACAGTGATAGAAATGTACCACTGTCAAAATATCTTTCAGAAAGTAAAAGTCTTAGTGTGTATGGGAGTATACTGGAAAAAATAGTACAGTTTTGAAGCTTTGTGTAATACTTGTTTTTATCACAGATCTTATTGTGCATAGCATAATTTATATTAGAACCAAACTGTCCCACAATTGCTCAGAGTTTATTTAAGGTCAGTGTATCTGGAGTGGAGAGAAACTCTACAAATGTCATAAATGCAGAAAAACATTTCTTAAAAAAACACACCTTTGAAAACACCAGAGTTTATACTAAAAGATATTTTCCAGGTGGTACAATGTGAAAAAATATTTAATCAAAAATCACGTCTAGATAAAAATTAGATGTTATCTGGTAGAAAGAATTAAGGCCCCAATATACTCAGAAACTACTCAAAGGACAATGTTGTTTATAGAGAATAATCCAAAGTTAAACTGGGTAGAAGGTTTATGTGTATTCATCTTTATTTTTTTTTATTTATTTTTTTTTTTTTTGAGACAGAGTCTCACTTTGTTGCCCAGGCTAGAGTGAGTGCCGTGGCGTCAGCCTAACTCACAGCAACCTCAATCTCCTGGACTCAAGCGATCCTTCTGCCTCAGCCTCCCAAGTAGCTGGGACTACAGGCATACACCACCATGCCCGGCAAATTTTTTTGTATATATTTTTAGTTGGCCAATTAATTTTTTTCCATTTATACTAGAGACAGGGTCTCGCTCTTGCTCAGCCTGGTTTCAAACTCCTGAACTCAAGCATTCCGCCCGCCTCGGCCTCCCAGAGTGCTAGGATTACAGGGGTGAGCCTTCACGCCCGGCCCGAAATTTTAAGAGTTGAAAATGAGTGGAAGAAGGTTACGTGTATGGTTCTGACACCTCCCTACATGATGAGCACCGGGGCAACACTGACTCATCACACAGCAATGGGAGGGAGCCGTGATGCCAAGTTACTGGGTAATTAGAGACATTGTGTGAAACGGGGCTTCTGGGTACTGTTTACAAAATATTGTGCACCATTTGGCAGTAGTTTGTCAGATAACTTGTGTGACCACCATTTGCAACAGCATCTAGACTGGATGGACGAGATTTCACAGAGGTTTAGTTAAATTTTTATTTTCAGAGTGACCTATCAGGTTTTTTAAAAGCTAGCAATGATTTTGCAAAGCGTACGTGGAAGAACAAACATGTGACTTGCCAAAATCCCTGCAAAATAAACACAATAAGGATGTCTGATCTTTTGATAAATTATAACACATTAATATATTCTACAATTAAAGTAGTATGGTACTGATAGAAAAATAGTCAAGGGGATCAGGACCGTAGAAATTTCAGAAATGTGTCAAAGTGCATAAGAGAAGAAAAGATATATATACAATAAAAACTACACAGGGGAAACCTTTATTAATATTTAGTGTTTGGTAAGTCCATATGCCTAAAGTGATGAAAATTGATTCATTCTTCACACACTATAGGAAGATAAATGACAAAGGACAAGTCTAAATGATAAAAAGAAGCATGCCAATAGCAGAAAAAACATTGGTTAATATTTTTATAAGGTGTGATAAATCTGGCATATCACTCAAAGAAATGTTAATGAAAGATAAAGTACACAATATAAAACCAGAATATTGTGAAAATTAGGAAGCACCATAAGTAGAAAGGGACATGCCAAATGGGACCTGTGTTTGTAACATAATATTACTACAACACACAAGGAGAAGCACACATCTGTGTTCATTCAGGAAAATAAGGAAGCTCTCAAAACATGGTTTCCTGGCATAAGGACAAAGGAGGCAATATGAAGGTTCCCTGACCTAAGATTAGACAATTGGAGCTCAAAAACAGATTTCTATAGTGGTATATGAAATTCCATCAAAAATGTTGGAAAATGTAATTTATATGTGTTCTTGTTTGCCGGGGCCACACCATAGTTATTATGACAGTTGACAAACATTACAAGCTTTTATCTTTCCAGTAGGCTAGTTTTTTTCACTTTTTAAGACAGTGTGTCCCTGTTTCCAGGCTAGGGCGCAGTGGCAGATCCTACTTCTTCAGCCTCTCATGTAGCATGGTCTGTAGGCACACACCACCATGCCTAGCTATTTAAAAGAAAAAATTTGTAGAAACAGAATCTCGCTGTGTTGCTCAGGTTGGTCTTGAACTCCAGGCCTCAAGTGATCCTCCTGCCTCAGCCTCCGGAAGGGTTAGCATGACAGATGTAAGCCACTGTGCCTAGTTTTTAATGTAATGAAGACCTCATGAGAAAATTCAGTTCGTAATAGAACAATGAGAACTGATACATGCAGAGGATATAACAGTAGAAAGCTGCATTTTGGCAACTCTCGGCAAAATAAGTGAAATATTTACTACATGTAGAAACATAATTTGGATATATTAGGTTGCATAATTATAATCAGTGACTTGTGTTTCCTTGTTTTTTCTCTTCTGTTGCTACTAGAAACTAAAATGACTCCCGTGGCCACACTTTATTCATAGCAGGCGCTGCTGCCTGAGGGGACCGCCTCCCGTTTTCAAACGCAGGCTGCCTCTTCAAAAGTGTAGAGAGGCCATGAGGTCAGAAAATCAGAAATTTAGAAGCAGTTGTCATTATAGTGTTTTCAATTTCGAATATCATAGATATTAGTCAGTCATACGTTGATATAACCTCACACACCACGTTAAATGCGAAGATCTTCCAGGAAGCGCCAGGTCCCAGAGTATAGGTTGTGGTCAGGAATGTGAGGGATCCCATCACCTGTCACTCAGGGCCCAAAGGGCGGGACGGGGTCCTGTTCAAGCAGGACTGTGGTAACGTCCAATCAGGCGCGCAGCGGAAGAGGCGGGTCTTCCACGGAGGGGCGGGGCCTTCATCTCTGGCGCCCCCCTTAAAGGCACGTCCGCGTTCCCGCTGGGTCTTCATTGCGGTGTGGAGTTGCCGGCGCTGTGGGCGGTCCCTTCCTCCTGTGGGCGCTGGAGGTCCCTGTGGAGCATGGCGGGACCCGCTGGAGGCCGGTGGTGGAACCCGCTGCAACCGGTGGAGGCCCGGCCTTGCGGAGGCTGGGGTCTGCCGACCGGTCCCCGCGGTCAGCGGGCTCTCTGGTCCCGGCGCGTAGCGGGCCAGGCCGGCGGCGGGACCCGGGCGCCCTGTGCCGTCCTCCCAGGCGCGCCGGGCGCAGCCGCAGCCCGTGTGGCAGCTCCGAGCCCGCAGCCCGCGTCCGCCCGGACAGCGCGGCGACGCCGGGACGGGCCTCGGGGGAGGCTGCGGCTCGGGGTGCGGGGCCGCGCGCGGGAGGAGCTCGCTGGCCCGCGGGGCCGTCCTCCCTCCTGTGGACGGCGGAGCCGGGGCGCTGTGGGGACGTCAAAGGGTTCGCGGAGAAACAGGAGCGGTGGGTCCGGACGGCCAGCCGCGGTGTGGGGTCCGCTCGAGGGCTTGGAGGAGAGGGTTCAATGAGGGCCACGAAGCGGCCATCCTAGTTCTCTAGCTGGTTACAGTTGTGTAGGCCCTTTTTTTGGACCGCCCTGTTGCCTATTTTCTGGTTATGTGATCAGAGGTTAATTGGTGCCCTGTTTTTTGTTTGGCCTAATTTTGCTTTTCACTAAGTTAATAATTTACGCCAAAAGAGTTTGCGTCGTATTCCTGTATTCTTAGGTAGGAACCCAAGGCACTGGATTCACTTGAGTCTTATTGCTGCTATTTAGTTGAGCAGACATCAGCGTTCTTCCATACGCAGGAGTAAATAAAATTAAATGACAGGTGGGGGCGAGGGCAGGATGTAGGGTGGCAAAGTTAGAGGGTAAATGAGAAAATGATTTACCCTGAAGTCAGTCTGTTCTTGGGAGGGACACAAGGAGGGGCTGTGTGCTGGCTGAGTCTCAGGGGGCATCAAAGTTCAGGGGCCTGCAGAAGGAGAGAAACTGAAGCCATATTTCAATCTCAAAGGGGGTTAAGCCCAAATGTTAAGGGATGTTCCGGGCTCGGAACAGGGTGAAGGGAAGGAGGATCACCCAGTCCCTGCCGGTCTCTAGGACCAATTTAGTTAAGGTCTCCTTTAGGGTTCTGTTCATTCTTTCTACCTGCCCTGAGCTCTGGAGATTATATCCACAATGTGACTTCCAATCCGCCCCCAGTGCTCAGGTTAGCCCTTGACTGACCTGACTTGTGAAGGCTGGCCCATTGTCAGATGCTATGCTCTCCACAGCCTGTACCTGGGAATTATTTCTTCCAATATTTTTTTTTTGCTACTATTAAGGCAGTCTCTCCTTTAGTAGGAAAAACTTCCACCACCACCACCCCCCCCCGGAAAGTGTCTACCATGACCAACAAATACCTGTACCCATATTTTCCAGATCTTACCTCTGTGAAGTCTATTTCCCAAAATAATCCTGGTTGCCTTCCCCGCTCCCTGGTACCTGCATGGGTCTCTCTGATTCTCCCCGGCTGCATGACCTGGCAGAAATGGCAGTTCTTCTGCTATCTTTCCTTGTGATTTGAATCTGATTTGTGCAGTGTCCAGCAACTGTAGCATCTTCCTTTTTCCCAGATGCGTCATCTGGTGCAAGTGTCCTAGTAGGTGGTTCCCCAAGGTTTCAGGAACTACTAGGTAGTCCTCTCCATCTTTGAGCCAACCGTCCTTACTCTGTGTTGCCTACACTTTTTCTTTGGCCCAGTTTATGTCAGTGCTGGAATAATACAGTTGGGGGGGCATCTTTCCCATCCCAGGAGGTGGCAAGCTCAAATATAGAACCATCCGTTAGTGATGGTTCCTCTGCAGCTATTATTCCCTAAGCATCTGCAGCCTGGTTGCCCTGGCCTTCAAAAGAATCCCCCTTCTAGTGTCCCGGAATGTGGACTAC